GACAGAGAGAGAGAGAGAGAGCAACCTGTTGTGGCATGCACAGTGGTCATAAGACCTTCAAGAATACCAAACTCCTCATGCACCACCTGAAATCATATTCCATAAAACAAGTTTGCAAAGAAACTCAGCCATGTTCACATACAAAGTGCGCCATTCAGTCACACATTAATCTGATTATGCTATACTCAAGATATGCCAAGAGTACATGAAAAAATTAACCAGACCTTGGCAAGAGGGGCTAGACAATTGGTCGTGCAGCTTGCATTTGAGACAATGCTCATGTTTGGCTGGTAATTCCCCTCATTAACACCCACTACAAACATTGGTGCATCTGCTGAAGGCGCAGATATCACCACCTTATTTGCTCCACCCTGTCATCAGCAATAAGAAGCATAGATCATATAAACACATGTTCTAATTGAGAAACCCAATTTCTCAAAATTGACCCAAACACTAGGAATATTTCTAAATTTAAATAAAACAGCCTGCCTTAGGTTAATATGAAGATTGTGACCATTGAATAAGTGGTGGTATAAATTTTGGCTATATTCATATGATTTAGAATACATGAGAGATCAATAGGGAAGGTCATGGTATATGAAGTAGTCCCATTAAGAAATGCCACCTATGTTTGTTTCACATTTCATATTATTAACAAGAAAAATGTTCCAAATTGAACTCCACCATTGTGGGGGCATATCCATCAAAATTGGAAAGTATTTCTTATGTGACTGAAAAGACTGAAGCATTTTTATAAACTCTAGAAAAGCCAGGGATCTCTTCATAATCCTTCTCCTATGAGATAAAAAATAATAGCAATGATAGCTTGAAACAACAACAAACGGCAACAAAAAATGTTTTTGTCATTGCCAGATTACATTGAGATGTTTTGAGGCCTTTTCGATCGTGGTGAAAACTCCAGAGGACTCAACCACATACTCCACCCCAAAATCTCCCCATGGAATCTCTGCTGGGTCCCTGCAAAACATGAAATTTTAAAAATAGTAAGAACTTTTCATACAAATTAATGACAGGATCAAATAGTAAACCCCATTAACAGAAGCACAAAATAAATGCTCATAGTGATTCATCTGGCCACTAAGACAACCACAAGTCTATTACTGTATGGACCAAGTTAAGAAAAGAAATGTTCTCTTATTTTCTTGTTCATTAAATATATAGCTAGCAATCACAGGACTACAACTAGTTTACCAAATGATTCACTGGACTACAGACTGCCCAAAAGCAGCCATGGAAAATGAAATAACCTTTTGCTTGTAACTGCAATCCTCTTCCCATTGATTTCCAATGTTGTGCCATCCAAGACTTTAATGGTTCCTTTGAAAAGCCCATGCGTTGAATCATACTTAAGCATGTAGGCCTGCAAAAGGAGGAGATATATATAACTAATCCTGTTACAATCCCACAGAAATATCTAAATTATCAGCTACAAGCTCATAATAGGAATGGTGATTTGCCTCAAAAAAATAAGGCAACATACTTATTGATTAAGAATATGCAACATTCATGTATCATTCAAAATTGGGAGGCAGCTAACACTCAAGCAAGTCTCAGTCAAGAACTGGACCATCACTGGTTTTATCAAAGACCAGGACACACTAGTTCAAGGCCCAAAGAGACCAGGTCTGACTCATGAGACTGTCAAGACCAAGTCAAGACTCGGATCATTTGAGTCCAGGTCATCCAGAACTGGCAGGGTGCCTGTTAAGAGTGACAAGGGTGAGTCCAAGTCGGACTCATGGAATTTTTGAACACTGCTAATTCCTCATATTTGTACCTTAAAATTGTTTCAAGTAGGGTTAATCTGACCTATAGAAAAAGGAGCCATTACTCACAATACCATTAAAGATTTTTTGAAAGCCTTAAAACGTTCTGGTTTTAAGTTAGACTTTCTTCTGTCTTTTAAAATTTTCAAATTTGTAATTTGAATAACAAGGCATTGGAAGAAAATATGAGAAATCAAATACCAGATTAACAACCAAAGCATTAAGTGACTATCATTTAAATTAGAAAACATAGCAGAATGGTGAAATATATTGATTTCTCAATATGCCTAAATTAACCATCAAAATTGAGGATAAAGCTACTACATTTGATGTTGCAAATTGATATGTGATACGGAGAAGAGTTTCTTACTCATGTCTTTGCAATATCAATTTCAGCAAGAAACATGTCCCCATAATTTAGGTTGAGATGTTGAGTTAGAGCTACATCTTAATCAAATATGAAGTTAAATTTAATTACTCGAGAAAGGAGGCGGACCTGAAAAACAACACTGAAGTTTTCAAATTTGTTTTTTTCATTTTTTCATATTTAAAAGGAAAAGGCAAAGTGTCAGTTAAACATAGATAGCTTTGAAGGGAAAAAAAAGTGACATGGCATAATTTTGAAAGTCAATGTGGTGAAAATTTCAACTGATTTCCTAACCATCACCTCAGAAATGCTAAACTTGGGAGCTGGAGAACCACACTCAGAATATTTTGGCTTCTAAGGCAAGGACACATCTGCAAGAGGGGGAACAGGGGCTACAGATAGAAAATATCTATAATAGAAGTTGTTAAAGGGCTATGGGTTCTTGCCTCAGTTTCCCAACATTATAGGGCACTAAGCCAAAGGTATTTTGTGGGCAACAGGTCTCTTTGGAAGTAATGCCCATTTACAGTCTCTTTGCAGGCTCACGGCAAGAGACAAATAGCATATATAGACACGTGATAGCAAGAAAGGATGGGTTAAGTATCAAAGGAAGATTTAGACCCACTTCAGGAGGTGAACTTTTGATATAAGTGCCTTGAAGGAATGTTAAATCAACCACGAGTTGGCCGGATAAGGGGTGCGGAACCATTTTAAGATGTACGCATATAGGTGCATAAAACACTAATACAAAAGCCTTTAAAGCAAAACACAAAAGGAATGTAATCACAAGGTAATTTATTTTCCTTTTTGATGATTAACGCAAGACTAATTGTTGCCTGATGCATAGATTTTCATAATCTATTGGGTGCAGCTTCTTACCATGTACTTTGCGTCAATAAAAGGATCATTGACAGCTACAACTTCAACACCATCACCTTCCACAGCCACACGCAGTACTAATCTTCCAATCCGACCAAATCCTGTAACAGGAATCAACTCTTAGAAATTCCAATTCACTGGAACTCCTGCCTTCAAAATTTAAGCAACACAGTTTGACATATTCCTAACAGCCGGTGTTGAGTGAAACATTCCATGCATCAAATGGTAAATTCTCATGGACTTTTGGTGAAAGACAATAAAGCACCCATCTTGGACCCAATAGATGATAATCATTCTAATCTTGACAAATACAAGCCAGTGGAAATAAAAAAAAATGAATGAACTATTGCTATAGATTTATAAGTCATCATACTAGGCTCCAGGATGACGGATCAACTATAAACAATTAGAAAGGATCATAACAAAAAGAGAATCCTTACCATTAATTCCAATCTTTATCTTGTCACTGCTTGGCGAATCTACAGAAAGAAAGGTGAATATCAGAACCAAAAAAGACAAACCGTTTTTCTTGATATGTATCCTATATTAGGGGAACAACACACAGGGAGAAAGCAATTATTTGACTTACGGTGAACTCTTGATGGAATCTCAGTGGCTGTAGCCCTTATAGGCTGCATATTCTTGGCACCGTGAGCCCTAAAAAGTATGAAACAAACCAAAGCTAAAGTATCATGGCTTGAGGAATTTTAAAATTTTAACAGTGATTATTAATTTTATGCACATTGCCCATAACCATACAACTTGTGGGGGACAAAAGCAGCTTCTACAAGCTCAACAAATGGTTTGAGCAGTTCAAAAGCCAGAGGGATACTTACTGTATCATGGCACCTTTTCCAAACCGAACAGACCCGAAAAACTTTTCCAGAAATCCCCCATTAGTTAAACTCAGCTTACCATCAAAGCTAGAAGCCTGCACACAAAGAAAAGTAACTTCTTCACATTTGCTATAATTTATTGATTTATTTATTTTGCATGTATCACCATAGGATTTATTACAACTGATTATGCTTCCCAAATTCTGATAACTTATAAGTCCAATATCTTCCAAATTAGAGATATGAAAAATAAGGGCTTTCAATAATACCACTTAATGACTTGATATAATAAGATGTCATACAGACTAAAACAAATTGAGGAATGCATAATGCAAGCCAATGTAAGTGTCTAAAATTACTTGTCAATTACCCATGATTTGCACTAGATTTAGGAAAGGGTCTGGGGTTGTGGTGGTAGCATCCCTACACCTAGTCACCACATTGTGGTTTCCATTTCTACCGCTAACACCACCTTAATAACACCTTCAAAAATCTAACTCCTAATCTACTTTAAAAAATGGGTAGGGGCCTGTCTTCCCCACTTAATTACCCAAAAAAAAAAAAAGATTTGCACTAGGCTTCTGAATAGATGGCACGCCAATGTTAGAACATGAACCCAATTTGACTTGATCATCCAGTTTGCAGTTCAAATCAGTCAATGTTCCTACGTAAAAAAGGTCATTCACTTCTATAAACATTGGACTGCCCACAAAACTCCAGAAAGGAAAACCAGTAATTTGTTCAAATAGAAGTCCTCCAGGACATCTGAAAATTAAATAAATGCATATGGAAAAAAATTAAAATAACTTAACAAGATTGCTCAGGAAAAAGGAGGCCAAATGATCGGCGATTTTTTTTTTTTGGCTTATATTGCTGACTCTGTTGTATTCTTCTTTCAACCTGCAGTGGTTAGAAGAACATATACTTGATTCCCTTTTTGATAATTTGATTGGGAACCAATCAATGACCATAGATTAGATTTAAGTGATGTAGGTTGATCATATCAGCTTTAGTGTCATCATGTACTGTTGTACTGCACTAACGTATAAATTTTGCCTCTAGTCCATGGTTTTCATGCTTGATCACTTGGAAAATCACGTACAACCATCATAAGAAGTACAAAAGAACCATAAATTGCATTGATTACGAAAAACAAGGTAAAATACCAGGTCTAGGTTGCAATAAGTGCAGGTTCAACTGCAACAAACACTAGGTCGTCATTCACTAGAATCCAGAAATTTATAAGAACAAGAATCACAGAGAGTACTACAAGAAAAAAGAACAAAGAAAATAAAAAGAAAAGCAGAAGAATACGAAATAAGAGTCACCAACCAAAAAACTAAAAAGAAGAGGGGAAAAAAATTACATTTAGATACAACTGTGGATCCTCACCACACAAAACACATGAAACCAAAATCAAAGATTTTTCCTCAAAAAAAAAAAAACAACTCAAAACCAACATAAAGGTACAAAATTCAAAGAATTATATAAAATAACAACACAAATAACAACAAAATTCATGTAGAAAACATGGGACAAATGAGCAACAACACCTCAGGCATCAAATGAAAATACAAGCTAAGCATTCTATGGTTCAACAAACTTAAAAAGTCATTTCTAAAGAAAAAGAAAACTTTCGTTAATCATCTGAGATAACAATAAATATTGTAAAATAAACAAGTAAGTATTGTAAAACAAATATTTGCCACGCATAAATTCAAGCAATGCAACTAAAGCAATAATCCAAGAAATGTTAACAAAGGGACAAGAAACTTCAAACCATAAGATTAAATAATTTAAAGGGAATATGTGCAAAGGAAAACAAAAGCGATTGTTAAAAATACAGACAGCCATACAGCATATGTAAAGCAACATAATTTAAAGGAGAGCATGCTTAAAAACCAGTGACTTCGAGAAATTATACAGGAACAATCCACAAAAAGAAATGAAAATCAATTCACAATACAAAACAACACTTAAACACTCCATGAAGACCAAAATAGTAGCTGACCAAAAGCAAGACAAAAACACAGTAAACAAGGCTAAAAGACCCTTAAAAACAAGAAGAAACACACATAAAACTTCAAACAGGAACTCACCTGAAAGCTTCCCAGCCGTTGAGACACACGATCCGACGGCAGAGCAGCAGTTGCAGAGAAGGCGGATCTGGCCATGCCTGACGCCGCCATTAATGAAGCTTCTACGAGCTCTAGGGTTTGGAATAATCGAAACTCTAGATTTTAGGGCCTGAGGAAAAATGCAGAGCAAAATGGAAGAAAAAACACTATAAAAAATAAGATTTTTGAAGAGAGAGAGGGGGTGGTTATATATAGGCTCCATGATAGGCGAGGCGGAGCTGTTTATGAAATGCAGTAAGATCGAACGGTCCAGATGTCTGGTCAGGTCGGCTTTTGATGGACGGTCAGGATCTTCTGACTGATTTGAATGCACAGTTACGTGGACCGAGAGTCTTGGAAGACACGTCGGCTAGTAAAGGCCATCGAGGCTTACTTTCTTACACGTCGACACGTGGAGTAATTTGATTGGAAGTTGGTTTCCGTAGATGTTGTCAATAAACTGAGGTGCTTAAAGCGAACGCACAAGAGAACCTGAAAACATCGCAAAAGTAACCCTTAATTGGCATGAAATTTCGAAAATATCCTCCACTCTTTTTTACAAACTTTTTATTCATTTTTTAAAATTGGTCAAAGTGCACCTAACCTACCAACTTTTACTTATTTTACCCATTTCAACTATTTCAACTCATGATAATATATGTGTTGATGAGTGTTTTTAAATGAAATTAAGTATAAAATATTAAATAATTTATCTCTTATATGATTTTTGATAAATTTCTATTATTTTTAAGAATAAAATATTGTTATAATTGATTAAAGGGGAATTTATCTTATTAGACGAAAAAGATGAACAATTTTACACTTGGAAAATGTTTCGATACTTCTCCTACAACATAGAAGATCTATGTTTTCCCTACCATCTAGCCGTCCAATTTTGATCAAGAGAGCCACTCACCATTTGATCTTAGATCCAACGTCAAAGTATTTTATTTTTAGATTTTTTATACAAATTATATGGATATGAAATTTGGTACGTGCCATATTCTCATTGGGGCACACCTATAAAAAATATTAAAAATAATTTTTTGATAAAATATAGTGACCAAAAAAACTTTGAATCTTTCAAGGATATTTTGGTCATTTTATTTTATTCAAAATATTTTTTTTTATATTTTCGCTAATGCGAGTTTAATAGAGGATTGATCGCAAAAAAATTTATGGGTCGCTGCTTTCTTTCATGTGTGGGTGCCATCATAAACCTTCCCATGAACACTCCCGTAATACAATTTCAATAAAAGCTTCTTCCAACCTAAAGAGGCATGAAAGGTCAAGCTCCCCATGAACACTCCAGTATTACAATTTCAATAAAAGCCCCTTCTAACCTAAAGAGGCATGAAAGGGCTCTTTCATGAGAGAGAGTACTCTCTCTAAGGAATTCTTTTTCAGAATAGAACTTTTATATGAAACAAATGTCCCATTAATATATAGAAAATGTTTATAAAAGGTGTCAACATTATACTGTATGAGATTGTTTACACTAAAAAATGTGGGCAAGGAACTCAGTCCCCATCTTTGTTTCCAGCGTAAATTTGTCAAAAAAGTTGATAGAGAAAGAGTCACGTCAAATTGCATTCCGGACGAGAATCAGGCCAAAAGACCACCAGCAGAGCTGGCTGCCCCACCTTAACCTTGAAGTCAATAGGAGTTTTGAGAAATTTAATGAAGAGAGGGAATGGTTTAATGAAAACTTTAGAAGAAAGAGCAAAATTAGATAAAACAATAAATGAAACTAAGAAAGGTTAATACATATGCAGAATGTGATTAAATGAAACTCATAGATATCATTAATGAAATCAAAGTAAGGAAGAAGGTGATACATTAGGCCAGGTCCTTGGGCCAGGATCCGGGAGTTGGTGCTGATTCAAAGTAGATTGTTGTTGGTAGTGGTATAAGACCTATACATTAGAAATGCAATCTTTTAAAAAATTTCCATTGTATTAAAACTCAAGGGTTTAAATGCTTGAATATCTCAATACAAAACTATAATACATATATTCTAACCTACAAACATATTTTATACACATTTGAATAATAAAAATTCAACCATAATAGGTCTCTTACAAATCCCTTACTTAAAAATACAATTAAACTCAATACAATGTCCAAATACTCACAATGTGCATTTCTACATATTATACGACTTGCACTTAAAATTCTTCATTATATCAAAATTCCATAATAATTTCATCTTCATTCTTCATCCTCATCATAATTCAATGAGATTTCAATTTACATAAACAATATAACATCGCATTAAAGGTCATACTACATGATTATAAGAATAATACCAATGTTCACTTAACATACTCAATTTAATCAATCATGAATCACTCAATAACTATAAATATATCAAATTAACATGCACGGGAGAAGCCACATTTTGAACCCCTTGTGCCCGGGCCACGAAAGGGCTTTTGATGACTTAATTTTGTCTCATTGTCTAAATCACCGGTGATAATAATAGTTCAAGGAGATCAATCCAATGGGAAGCAAATAATCACTTTTACTTCACTTAATGGGAATCAAATCATGAGAGAGACATGTATCAAAATAACCCTTCATAGTTTGAGAGAAAGAGACTACAAAAAAAGAGAGAGGAAGTTATGGTGAAACTACACTATGTGGTTCATAAGAGACTATATGAACTTTTCAACATTAAAAAAGAAACTCAATGAGCTATTTCATATGCTCAAATATGACGAAGTAAACCTCTTATCAATTGTATATTATTAGTAAAAATTTCAAAAAAATAAGATAAAAAAAGTCAAGGTGAAACTACTCAAGATCATGGAGTAAACAAGCTAGTCTACACATACTATATGTACGGACTACACTATTGCTTTGGGACTCTTCAAATATCAAGTTTTCATGACCAAAAATGAAGAAAGCTACTGTAAATTAAGAATTACTGCAAGCTTTGATGATGAAAATGAGGTAGGAATTGAAATATAAGAATAAAAGTTAATACCGTAGTGAAACAATAATATGTACTTGATCACACACATGAGGGACTACTCTATGGAATGGTTTCAAATGAAAGCTCAAGGAAAAAGATAGTCTCATGAGTGATCACCTTTTTTGTTAAGGAGGTTCTCTCTCTCTAAAGTGAATATACAAGTTAGGGTTATAATTGATCTCACAAGTTACTTTTATATTTAGATACTAAATGTAGTTTTGATCATGATCATTGATGCCTTAGATCAATGGTACATGAGAGGCTTTTATCTAAATCAATCGTCCATATCTTATTACCAAGATCAATGGATGAGCTTTTGATACCCTTCACTCCTAAAAACTTAGGTTTATAGTCATTTTTTACCTTAAAGCCCTTGACTTTATGTTTTATTTCTCATTAAGTCCAAATTCATGTTTACACTTATGCCCATAGTTTTTGAATAATTTGTGAGAGTCAATAAAAGACAAGGATATGGACATAAAGACAATATGAGACATTCACACATGTGGATAACATATCTTATGACAGTACCAATAGGATTTCAACAGCACTAAAAGTTCACATACCACAAATATTATATATGGATAATAATATAAATCAAATTAATTCTCAAAATCCCATAACTTCACACATGTCAAATAAACCACATGTGTGAACAAAATACTATGTGACAAGGGGGTGTGGGGGTGCCACATGGCATCCCTATGGCCACTTGGGACCCACGTGGCATCCCCATAACTCGTTTTTTATTGTCATTTTAGTCAAATAATTTAAAAAATAATTTTTGGTGCTTTAAAAATTCCAAAAATTTCTCCAAAATTCCCCAAAATTTCTCCAAATGAATTTTCAACATTATTACATATTTTTTCATCAATATAAAATATTTTTTCATTAATTTTAAATTAATTTGAGCCAAAGGTAAATGAGATCTCTAAACTTATAACACTAGTCAGAGTCTTCTATTGGGCTAACCCGAATGATATTTCATTGGTGTCTCAAGCTGACCCAATGAACCTATACTCTACAGTCTATGGCAGTGACACATATTTGGTCACATCAAAGTCGCTAAGCCAAAACTTCCCGTCACTGGGAGTTTTGTGGATTACTAGTGCACCCTTGTGGAACATGTTCCTACTCAAATACAAGGGTCATCTCAAAACACATATGCACTAACTCTTCTGAGTTAGATAATACTATATAAGAGTTGTTTCTCCATACAACTATGGATGCACATGCCATAGAACGGTATCGTGTCAGGATACAGGCTCATGTCCTATATGCTGACCATTCCATATGGGGTGAATACTCTTTTAAATGCTCGGGTTCTATTGTTCTCGATTGGATTTTCCTAGTCCTGACTTATCACATGAATTATGATGCATTCTAATCAATATAGTCTTGATTAGGAGGTAACCCTCACAGCTCCTTGGGAGCCCACACTCTCAAAACGTATACTCTCAATGCTTCAAATACTCGGGGTATATGAATATGGGCTTTAGTGCACCAAACACCTAGATTCAGTCTCTCTCTAGCTCCCACTGGGTGAAATACTCTTGGCTTTAAGGCTTTGAAAGGCCACATAGCCAACAATTGCATGGTCAATCCCAATCTTTTAGGTTTTTGGGTTGGGCAAATGAATATAAGCAGAAGAGGGATGAGAAGGTTTGATTATCCGAGCCACATTCGATTTAGATTGAATAGGGTAAGATTCTTAAAGCTTGAGATAGAAAGGTCGAGTTTGATCCTAGAGGTCGGGTACACTCAGCAGAGCTTACGCATGAAGGTCATGAATTTTTTGGACCTACTCAATAGGGGAGTCCTCTATTTATAGGCAAAACACTTATAGGATCGCTATTATTCGTTTTTTATGCAATCTGGGCCCTTCTTCGCCACTTGCACTAGCTTTGGCTCCACTAGCAATAATATGGTCAACACAATTAAATGCTCCATAATCATATGACTGTGTCTTGGGTACAACTTTGTGGGTGGGGTGTCAAAAGTCTGGCATTGGCAGTGGTATTGCTGCTATTCAGAGTTGCTTTCTGAAAAAATTAGCCATGTATTATCTTCTGGGTGTTCTTTCATACAATTGGCGGACCAATTAGATTATGTCCTGTTTCAACTGCCTTTGGCGCCATTCCTAGTGGTGATAACATCAGTCGAACGTTTGCTCTCCATTGTACAATCGATGGTTGATTCGATGTTTCGT